AAGTGCTGAGACCCTTCGGGGTTGCCTTTGACTCGTCGTTATCTGACTCGTTTTCAGAGCTGTCTGCATCGGCAAGCTCGATATCATCATCGCTTTCGGCGCTCCTGACGCTCCTCATATCGACATCATCGTCGAGCTCAACTCCCCCCTCCGAATCGTCGTCTCCCGATTGCTCGACATCTGAGGCGTCCTCCATCTCTTCATCTTCGCCTTCGCCTTCGCCTTTTACCTGTGAATACTTCAACGTAAAGCTGACCTTCCTTGACTTGGGGTCAACCTTGATGACTTTAGCCTTGACGACATCATCCTTTTTGTACATATCCTTGAGCTTCTCCTTATCAACGGCAGCATCTGCTATTTGAGAAATGTGGCAAAGACCGCTGACATTGTTCGAGTTGTCGACAATGAGAAAGACACCATAGTCCTCCACATGTCTGACCTTGGCAGTGACGATTTGGCCAATCTTTAGAGTAGCAAATTCCAAGGGCTCGACGTAGTCTGTCTTGATGACTGAAGTCTTCAAACTCAGCTGTGGGTTGCGTTGATCTTCCTTATTCGAGATGACCTTGCCGGTCACGAGCTGATCCACATGGAATGCACTCTTCCAGTCTTTAATGTACTCGTCCGAAAGATGACTCACGCGGACGTAGCCTTCAACATGAGGACCCAGACGGACGTAGACACCATTGTTCGCGATATGCTTGACGAAGCCACGGACGACTTGGTTCACCTTGAGCTGTGTACGGTCGGTAATTTCGGGATCCTTGACTGGCAATGAAGAGCTTAGGACTCTAGAAGGTCTGGCCGACAATCCTAATTTCTTGTTTGGAACGTCAATGTCAATAACGCACACTCGCAAGACATCGCCAACCACAAAGTTCTTCGGCTGAGCTTTGTCGTAGTCATCTGCCAACTGCTCCATAAAGATGGGTGCAGCGATGCTTTCATTGATTTGGACAACAATTGATGCATCGTGCAGCTTGGTCACACGTGCGGGTAGGACGTGACCGACTTTCAGGTCTTGGAGAGACATTGATTTTCCGGTCACTGTAGATGCAGCTGTCAAGTCTAGCTTTCCATTCGCTGCATCCACTGCCTTTACGCGGACCTTGAGAGCAGAACCCACGGGAAAGTTCTTCTCAACGTCAGATAGCTTCTCAAGATCGTCAGTCAGGTCGAAGAAGTCGATGCGTCCGCGGATATTGGCTGAGATGTTCACCCAGACATGGCGGTCGGCAATGTTGTTGATGAAAGCGACGTAAGACGAGCCGGTTGTAACTTTGTCGAGGCTCAACACATCTACTTCTGACTTGATCTCCTCCGTCTTTGCAGTCATTTCGTATGTTGTCGTCTTGTTGCTTGACCGAGATGTGATCGGGAGGAAACGGAAATTGCGTGGATCGTGTCTTCCCAAAACCCGAGCCTGAATGGTATCGTTCATCTTGAAGTGTGCAGTTGGTCGCTTCTTGTCGGGAATGCTGTCCCAGTCTTCAAACAGTTCCGATACAGAAATGCGACCGGGAACGTTTACTGCAAGCTCAACGTTGAGTTGTGTATCTTTGACTGACCGGACACGGACGGTCATCAGAGTACCAAACTTGATGTCGTCGGTGGATGTCATTTTAGGATCCACAGGGTCAACTAGAGGCTCTGCTACCTTTACTGGAGGGGCAGCAGCAGCCTTTGCTGAAGCCACTTCATCCTCAGACTTCATCGATAACCAAAAGAGCCCCTTTCCAACATCTACATGCGTAACTCGGACAGTGATGGATTGGTCCTTGCGCAGGCCAAAGTCGGGCGCCGCGGCCATGTCTTCTGGTAACTGCGATCTGAACAGTGCACCGCTGATGCCATTGCCAAGCTCGACAAAGACCTTGTCTGAGAGAATACCGCGCACGAATCCATGCACAGTCTCACCCGCTTGCAGATCCTCAATACTGATAGCAAGTTTTGAGGCCTGCGCGTCCTTTCGGAGACTAGGTTTGTTGGATACGGTCGCCATTTTGGATTTGCCATGCTTGGTAAGAACCACGAGATCTTCCAAAGTTCCACCAACGCGAATCTTCTTCATGGTCGAGATGTCTTTCTTCTCTGATCCGTCAGTCAGATGACCAAGGCGAAGAATGCCCTTGACACCATTGCCAATGTCCAGAGTAACTGATTCGTCAGACTTTTCAACGACCGTTCCCTTGACGATTCCACCGGGGTTAAGAGCATTAAAGGCGGCTTCCTTGTTAGTATCAACAGCAGCAGGATCCTTGCAGGACACTAGGAGCTGACGTTCCTTTGCGTCAACAGAGAGGACGCGCACGTTAACAACCTGCCCAGAATGAAAGTGTCGTGTTGCGTCATGAATAAATGCTTCGCTCATTTCCGCGACTGGAAGCCATGCCTTTACACGGTTGTAAAATTGCACGGTGGCACCATTCCGGCGGACACTGACCAAAATTCCAGGGCCGGTAGCACCTTCTGAAATCATTTCGTAGTTTGTCCAAGGCTTCACCTCGGAGTTGACCAATGACTTCTTGAGGGTAAGGTGTATTTGATGTCTCGCGGGTTCGGTGTAAAGCACTCGAGCTGTGACCGGCAGTCCTTCTCTAAACTTGCGTTCTGGATGCTGTAACCGGACATCAGCGAGATGCATCTCCTGAACCAGACCAGTGATGCCATCAGCCAGATGGACAAGAACAGCGGTTGCTCCAGACTTGTCTGCGAAAAGCTTGTGCACTTTGCCCTTGACAACTTCACCAGCTTTGATGTCCTCAATACGGAGAAAGGGTTGGTCAATGACCTTCTTCTCAAGGGACAACTGGAAAAGTCCGTCAAGAGCGTTGTAGCCAACAATTCTTGCCTTGTGCTTCGAGTCAAGTTTGAATGCACCAGCCTCCTCTGAGAGAATATCGACTTTGTCGTCTGAGAGTCGCGAGATGTGGGCGAAGCCGACAACATCTTTGATTCCAAGATCGAAAAATGCACCTTGGCTTGGTGCCACCTTGACAACCTTTGCGCTTTCAACAATGGTAGAAGTTGGCAGCAGGTCGATAGGAGGCTTGCGCTCCTTGGGTTTTCCAGACATGCGCGTAGACAACGAAAGCACATGGTCTAGTAAAGACACGCCGACCTTCCTGGGATCTGAGCCAGGACATGTGAATAAAACACGGGCCTTTACTTTGGATCCGATCTTGTGCTTTTGAGACACGTCGGTGGCCTTCTCAGTCGCGCCTGAGTGGTATGCATCTGCTGTCGCATCTATCAAGCCCAGAATCTTGCCCGTGATTGTATTTGGCGTGTTTTCTGTAACGAGAAGGTCGACCGCAGTTCCCGGGAGGAATACGTCAATGGTAGGTGCTTCGGTCAAAGTATTACCCTTAGTCAGGTTTCCTGCCTTGGTGTGGTCGGCAGAGAGCTTGACGATGCGCCCGTCAGAGTTGAGCCCGGTAACCAAGCACATAAAGACGGCACCCTCTTGGACTTTTGAATGCTGTAGGTTTGGGCCAAGCTCGCCCTTTGGTAGAAAGCCCTTTAATGTGGCATCGTTCAAGCCCAGATCCATGACCAGGCCGTGGTCCTCGTTGCTCACAACAGACGCTTGTATCATACCGTTGACAGGTATTTTGCGCTTCGTAAGGCCCGTATTGACCAGCTTGGGCTCAATTGAAAGTTCGAGTCGCTTCCTTGCTTTTGCGCCTTCGCTGCTAGTTGCGGTGATGCATGCACGAAGGTACTGACCCACGGAGAAGAGGTCCCTGAGGTCAACATCCTCAAAGTCATCCTTGTCGCTTCCATCTTCCTTGTCACTCTCGTCTTCCTTGAGGAGCTTCTCCAGCCTCTCGTTGAGTTTGTCGGACACGGCAGTGAGGGGAACGTAGCCGACTAGGTTGTTGGGGAGGGCAAGCACAATGTCTTGGTGGGAAATGTCGGTGATCTGGCCAAGTACAATGGTTCCAGGCGACAATTTCTGAGATGATTAGTCTAGCGCCGAAGCTGCGCAGCATTTTTCTTACCTTGTAACTAAGAGTCTCGACCTTGACTACATCCTCCTTGTCGCCGCTCTCGTGTGTCTTTTTGCTCTTCTTGGTCATTTTCTTCTTTGACTTGGGCGCAGACTTTGTCTCGTCGTCCTCGGAACCCATGTCGCTGTATCCTTCGCCATCGTCGCCGCCAGGACGCTTCTGCCCAGATTGCTCGAAAAGAACATCCTGATTCGCCTTGATCTGAATTTGCTTGTGCTCGAGCGGAGTCAAGACACTGGCGCCTCCTCTGGGAAACGACTTCTTCTCTTCATCCTTGAAAATGCTGGTTGGCGGTGCAGGGTTCTCAAGCTTCGCCTTTGCAGGCGATTGCTGGTCGACATCGGATTTGCGCCGCTTCGCTGATCGGTCGCTGGATGTGCTCTTGGGCTTTTTGGACGGGGTGGCGCCCTGCTCTGCTTTCCGCTTGACCGCGCCCATTGTGTGGTGTGGGATGTGTGCGGGCGTGGAGAAGGTCGAGTGGTGAAGATTCCGCCAAGAGTTCGAAGCGCAATGTTCTTCGACTTTTTTTGGTGGGTCCATGCGCCCAGGTTCTCCCACCAACCGCGCCAGCAGGGACGCCGCGCCTCTCACGTCCTCGATGACGAGATGGCACGCGACGCCTCAACGACGCTGTCGAGTGAAAATGGTATCAATTCTCAAGATACAGATGAACTGGAGTATTGCGATCAACATGCACTCACTCTCCGTGCTTCATACATGCCTCATTGCCGTGCATTGCCAGTGAAAAGGGTGCGTTTGGAGGGAACGCCGGGCCACTTAAGACCCAAAGAGGCATAGCGGTGCACGTCGGTCGCGCCTGCTCTTCGCGACGTGCACAGGTCGTGCACCTTCCTCTCCAACCTCGCCGGGCGTATCATATGAGCATTCGTCCCATATCGGGGTCGCTCCTTCCTGGCTGCCCGCGTGTGTTCACCTGAGCTGTGCATTGGTGTCTCTCTCACATACTCTCCACCTCTTCTCAACACCATGTCGTCGCCCTGCGCCCCTCGCACCATGCTCCTCCAAGAGCCCACTCCAGAGCTCTTCTCATCGCCGCCTCCCGCTTCATCCGCAGCAGCCTGCTCACGGAAGCCCAAACGGCCACCTCCCATCACTCCCAAGCGCTTCACTCGCTTCTTCACACCGCGACACTCCAAAGATGTCTCTTCGCGTACTTCGCTCTCCCGCTCGGGCCGTCAGTTACAGGACATCACCCGGTCAGCTCTGAACCGTGGCCGGGCAACGCGAAGTACCCCCCGAAAAACAGTCAACTTTGTCGACATTGAGAATCAGATGCGCACCCCTCAGAGCAGCCGCAAGCGGAAACCCTATCTGTCGCCTGAGAGTTCACCTGCCCAGTCGTCGCCCTCGAAACGATCGCGTTACGTCACCCCTCCATCACTCGACGCACCAGCCTTTGATGTACTCGACGACTTGGCTGACCTTGATGAGCCCGCCGTATATCCCACACCCATTCGACGGCTGAAGCAACTGGGAGGACCGTCAAGAACATTGCAACGGTCATTTGGTGGCGTCGTCGGTGTAGGTCGCGGGTTTCGCAGAGACCATGGCGCGTCATGGCAGGACCAGACGGCCAACTTCTACAGTAGTTCAGACGACTTGCATCAGTTACCCCAAGACGCCCCGCCTTTTTGCACTGCCAGCTGCAATAGTGAGTTCCATGCACAGCAATCACCGTCATAATACTAACCTGTTACAGCCAACTCTTTACTCGCCATTGGAGACGAAGATGGAAACATCCACCTGTTAGATTCCGAAGGCGACTTTTCCAAGGCACATTTATCATGGAAAGCTCATTCCAACGCCATCATGGACCTGCAATTCTCCTCTGACGACTCTCATTTGGCAGCAGGGTCGGGTGACCAAACTGCACAGATTGTCGATGTTCGTACACAGCAGACTCTTGCTGTACTGGCCAAACACAAGTCATCAGTAAAGCAAGTGCGTTTCCAGCCGGGCGATGACAAGATCGTAGCCACGTCCAGTCGAGACGGTGCTGTGCAGATCTGGGACCTCCGATGCAAAGGCAACCAAGGATCGATACATTCAGCCTGGGGATCCGATGCCCCATATGCCAGTGTCGTCCGAACCCTTGCTTCAGCACATGCCGACATCAGCCTGCCGACATCAGCGCTATCCGCTACTCGAACCGCATCAAGCAGCAAAGTGGAGAGCATCAATCGTCGAAACGACATCTCGGTTACTGCTCTTACTTTCTTACCCCAAGGTCGCGAGCATTTGCTCTTGACTGCCTCGGATGCTTCCACGTGCGTCAAGCTCTGGGACATCAGAGGTCGATACTCTTTACGAGGTCCAGCCATCCCCATTGCGACTACACGGCACCCCGAATCCCATAACCGCCACCGACACTTTGCCATCAACTCACTTACCCTTAGTGGCGACGCATCCCGACTCTACGCATTAAGCAAGGATAACACCGTTTACGCTTATTCTACAAACCACCTTATCCTTGGTGTAGCTCCTGAACTCTCTTCGACATCCGCATCGAAACAAAAATACTGCGGTGTTGGCCAAGAAGGTCTTGGGCCCATTTACGGCTTCCGTCACCAGAGCTTCCACGCCGGTTCATTCTACGTCAAGGCATCTTTGCGAAAGACTTGCAACGATCAGACGGAGATGCTCGCAGTTGGCAGCACAGACGGCGGTCCAGTATTGTTCCCTACTGATGAAACATTTCTTAAGCGCGAAATCCGACACGACGACGACACAGATGACCTCCCGGACATTACTGCCCTGACCGGAAAATCCTCTAGACCATTGCTATCCCGTTCAACTACCAACAGCCGTTGTCCAGACACGATTCCTATCTACGAGCATGGGACAGCTCTTGTGCGAGGTCACGACGCCGAAGTCACCAGTGTTTCGTGGGCACGCAACGGTAGCCTGATCAGTGTAAGCGATGACTTCCGCGTGCGAAGGTGGAAAGAGGGGCCCCAGGCGAGGGAGCTCAGGACAGGCGGAGAGAGCGAGGGTAGAAGGTGGCAATGCGGATGGGCTGTTGTTAGTCAAGATTATGACGACGACGATGAGTAGTAGAGGAAGAAAGTGTTGCTGTTTGGAGCGCCATTTGTTTATTATACCCCCTTTTTTCCATCCATGTCGATGTTTGTATAGCGAAAAACGAAAGCGATGAATACTGTATTCTTGAGTAGGTAGATATTTGATTCAAAAAAAACAAAATAAAGATAAAAGTTTCTAATCATTCAGCTACAGTCTTGTATTCATGCACTATTCCTACTATATACACTTTGCTCTTCGCCTCGAGAACAGAATCTCATCCCCTTTCCATCTCATCCACCCCTTATCCACTCTTCCATCTCCTAACCACTCCACACCTTGGGTCCCGGGCACGTATACGTAGTCTGCGAGCTGCTGTACGTATCGACCATGATACCCGGATCATTCTGCGACGCATACCCAGGAATCGTAGCCAGGTAATCGCCACTCGGCGACGCCGAGCCACCCCCTGTTACCTCAATCTGCGCGCACTCGGCGTAAAACTGTGGGCTGCGTGCTTGGTGCAGAGCGAGCAGCTCGTGGCGGACGAGGTAGTTGCCAGCGGCGAGGGTGGCGGGGACGGTGGATTCCCAGTAGAGGTTCTTGAGGACAAAGGCGGTGCCCCAGTTGCGGCCGGAGAGGGGGGGAGCGGTCATGCCTTGTTCGTCAATCTGAGGGGTTTGATGTCAGCCTTCTTTTTTCTTCTTCTTCCTCTTTTCCTTTTACTTAGAGAGTATCGTTTACCTTGAACCACTTCTTGCCACTTCCGTCACACGACTTGAAGTCGCCGGAGCACTTGTACATCCAGACCATTACGGGACCTTGCTCGTGGGTCCACTGCTTCCAGATTGCGCGGATCTTGCCGCCGGCTTTTACTTTGGCGACGAGGTCGGCGGAGGTGCCGCCGTTGCACATGACTTTGGAGTCTGTGACGCTCATGGTGGGGTTGTAGTCGGGCCATTGGCGTTGGATGGTTTTGGGGGAGGAGGCGGGGGAGAAGCCTTCGTAGCTGGGAGGAGGAGGAGTGTTAGTCTTGTGGTGTGTGTGTGTGAAGGGGAGTGCGGAAGAAGAAGGCGGTGATGGTGCTGGTGGTGTAGTTACCCTGGGTATGTCACGCCGTCGATAACATAGCTGGTGACTGCGCCGTGGGCAGCAGCCTGAGCAGCCAGGAGCGCCGTAGGCAGGAAGATATTGGAAAACAACATGTTGAGTCGATAGTAGCTAGTTTGTTTTTCGTCTTCAACACTATCTCATACTCCTTCTCTCCAATTTGCACGCCAGCCTCCCCTCTTATATACTACTCACCCTCGAACAATACACCGTCCGAATCAAACCTCCCCCTATATCACTCCCTCATTATCCCCACATGACCACCTTTACCTACCCACTCATCTCCAGCTCCCCTCCTCCCTTCCAACGGACTCCACCATCCACCCTTCGCCCGCCCCCCTCCACCATCGCCCCATCGGAAATACGATAGTACAGTTGACCCCGCAATTATAAACGAGTGATGCCCCAATCTACGCTCTCTACTTGCCATCGGTCCGGCTAAAAGCAAAACTAGCTGTACAAGCAATATACATGTTTCCCCGCTAGAGCCCAGCCAAGAGGCACGGAGACAGAGCCTCCATGCCGGCTCTTTTTTGGTTTTCTTTGCAAACATATCCCGAGCTGGATCGGGAAATAGGCAATGTAATTCAGCGATTGGAATGAGACAAAGAAAACGCCCAGTTTAAATCATTACCCCGGATTGGTATGGGTTCGGGGGCTTTGTTTTTTTAATTTAGGGCGTAGTGCAGATAAGGCGTAGTGATGACGCGTGACGAAAAGGGCTGTGTGATCTGGGGAAGCGATGCTGGATTGTTACTACTATATGTTAGATGGCGGAGTGCGGGCCGCGAGCGCGAGGCTGTGGGGTTCGAGTCGTGGACCTCTTGATGTTTTGGGAGCGGAACGGTTGGGTAGTTGTGGTTTATACAAAACTTGAATTTGGTGACAGCGATTTATTTGCAGTAGATTTTCCAAGGCTAAGGGGTTCTCGTCAATGCTTTTGGCGAGTTGTTGGCTGGGGGAGATGATACTCGATTTCATCGCCGGGTATACTGTATCGTGGTTGAGTGATCAAGGTTAGAAGAATGTAGTTTGTCAGCGCGATCGAGAAGACATGATGACTGCTTCTGTGATATGTTGAAATTTGATTAATTGGATTGCAAGACACGTGGTGCATTTGGACGCCCGAGATAATATATCCCTGGTGATAGTAATGACGAGGAGACAGCCTTACCGAGTTGCGAGTTGTGAGACACTACCGGACGCTAAGGATATGCGCTAACCCATTCTCGACCTGCATGCATGCATCTTCTTCTTTACCAAAAGGAGAATTACAGGGCGCTAGACGTAATTACGTCAGTGCTCTACTTTAGCAAATAAGACCATGCGAGGACGACAAGCAAATAAGAGTGTTCAGAATAAAATATTTTCATAGCAATCAAAACGACAGTGACCTTGGGCATGGTCTGGTATCTCTCGCCCCTTGAAACCCGCAAAGCATCAACTCCATCTAGTACCAACGTCCACAAATCTTAACATATCCAACCTCACTTAAAAGTGCTTGGTCGGGGCATCCTCCTTGACGCCTTTTCCACTGGCCCCGTGCATGACTTCCTCGTCGTACCGCTCCCCGTCATCGCTGTGATACGCAACGCTGATATCCGTAATCTCATCTCCGACCTCCATCCAGACATCGCTCGTAGCAGGGATGGGACTGATTTTGCAAAGTGCCCAGTATGTGATGCTGGCAACCAAAAATCCAGTAAAGAAGTTGAGATCATAGATGCGTTGGGCGCCAATGGGAACCTTGCGGCCAACGGCACCGGCGAAACCTACAACGTTGATGGCGACACCAGCAATATAAGCAGCGTAACCGCGCCAGTGGAAACCGAGGGTGTAGTAGTATGGACCGGTTTTCTTGCCAGAGTAAAGGTCCCTAATTTGGAAGAAGCCCTTACGCACAACGTAGTAGTCGCAGATCATGACGCCTGCAATCGATGAGAGAAAGACCGAGTATGCAGAGAGATAAGTGGTGAAGCTGTTGGTGTCGGAGAGGAGGTTCCATGGGCACATGACGAGACCGACGAGCGCACAGATATAACCGCCGCGTCTGATGCTGATCCAGCGTGGTGCAAGAGCCGTCATGTCAGTACCAGCGGAGATTGAGTTTGCCGCAATGTTGGTACCAAGTTGTGCGAGGGTAAAGGCCGCAGCAATAACAAAGACACCGAAACGTTGACCGGACCCTCCCTCGTTGAGAAACTGCTCGAGCAGGTCCAGTGGGTTCCAGATGGCTTTTCCGAAGATGACGGTCGAAGAGGACGATACAATGATACCGATGAAAGAGGTAATTGCAAATCCAATGGGAATGGTAAGCAGCTGCGGTAGAAAAGCGTCCGAAGGCTTTCTCGCGAAACGTGAAAAATCGGGGTCATTTACGATCAAAGTAGCGAAATTGGCAATCGCGCTCATGATGCCTTTGACCATGAGCCAACCCAACTCAGATCCTTTGGCTTCACTAGGTTGCTTAACGATAGGACCCAGTCCCTTTGCTCGTACAACCGCCCAGATGAAAAAGGCAATTCCTGCGGTAGGTGCGAAGAAGGCCTTGACAGTGAACAAATGGCGAATCTTATGAACTGGCGGATAGATGAACGGGAGAGATCCGGCCCAGAAAAGGAAGAAAGAGACGAAGGCGACCGTGTTGGTACCAGAATTGGGGATGCCATTGGCAATGCCTCCTCCTCCAGGAGTGTCCTCCTAGAAAAGAGAAGTTAGTCAAAGGTCAAAAAAAATCGCAAAGGGACTTTACATTTCGCCAGTTGTTCCAGATAGCGCGGATCATTAGGCGCACGCATGTGCCGCCAATCCATCCTTGCACACCATACCAGATACTGGCCATAGCTGCGCGATTGAATACGGGCCATAGCGCGCCCCAAATGCCGAAAGACGCGCGATTAACAACAGGAAACGAAATGTGATAAGTCGCGCCGATACGACCTGTCATGCAGACGAAGCAAGCCGCGATCGAGTATCCGAGCTATTGTTTGAATCAGCATATGCTATGGCGGAAAAATCGCAAAATTCCCTACCCAAACGCAAATCCATGATTGCCACCAGGAAAGACCATCGACAATGTTGGCGGAAGAAATCATCCATGTATTGATGTTGAAGGAGTCGGCTGTGGAGTAATTAGCCTATGATACTTGACATTGTCACATGAGGCAAGAGTAACGTACCAACCCAAAAACCAACGAAATTCCATGCGCCCCATTGTCGGCGCTCAGGTTCCACCTGGGGATGTTAGAAAACAAAGGGCTTCCAAAGCGACGGTCATAACATACAGGCTTCAGATCGTGGTTGTACAGCATGAGCTGTGCAGTGGTGAGACCAGGCTCACTCTCGACGGCGAGCTTGTTGGCCCAATGGGCGACCTTTGACCTCTTGACCTTTTCCATGATGCGATTTGCGAAAAACGGTTCGTCGCTGGAGTGAAAAACTGTCGCGGCAACTACAGGCCTTAAGAAGCTTTCGCTCCGGCTGCTCGAAGCCGTAGCTTGGTATGGATCAAGATCCCCGCTTGTGTGACGTGGGGGTTTATCAGAAGCGAGTGAAGGTCTGGGTGCGTCTTCGCCTGAAGAAGGTTGGGGTAAAAGTGGCTGCCGTTCGGGATCCACGGTGGCTGATTTCCGCGGAACGGATAGGACTATGGAAAAGGAGAAGAAAAAAAAGGTGTCTAATGTTTTGCTCTAGGATACTCTATACAAAGACGAGCCTCGATCTTGACTGCAGGTAGATCTTAAAACCGGGGCATGGCCCATCTTAAATGCTGGAGAGGATCACAAGGCAACACATGAAGCATCTAAGATCGTCTCTGTGATTAGCTACCATTGCTATTCTCGTTGGTGTGGGAGAGACCGTTGTCGGCAGTCTTATCTTAGACTCTAGATAGCCCGCGCGATGTGCTCCACCTACAACTCTGATGCTCGAGTAGCGTCACTGGCCCACTCCAGACCCTCGCATAAAAGGCCCTGGTGATGCACACCAGCTGAAAGCGTGCCGTCCAAGAGCGCAGGATTTTCAGGACTCGGCGGCGTGGCCATGTGCAGCATCGCATGATGGGTGGTGATGTGCCGCGTATGACGCAGCGCCCCCTTGCCGGTAACCGTATCGCGTGCACTTGAAGAGGTGTGCGATGCCGCGCTTGCACTGATATCTCCGCGATAGGAGTATGACTGCAGAAGCTTTGGGGGACAGTTGACTCGATGGAAACATGTCACCAGGCTCACGGCCAGTCGTCGGAGATGCGATGCAGCACTATCTCAGGCACCATGGTCTGTTGAGGTTGCATGTCAGGGCTCGCTAGATAGCGGGTTGCGGTAAGGAAGATAAAGATAATGTGGGGTACCGAGGCGCCAACCGGGCCAGTCAGCGGCCAGCATATCCAGTTTACTCGATGACATCGAGTAAAATCCGCCTGGCTTGTCCATCAGCGCGGCCATTCGTCCAATCTGCGCCAAGACCCTAGTGTTGCCCGTGTTGGGTTAGTCACATGATCACATGATGGTCTCCAAGACACTGACACGAACTACTCTTTGACCACCACACGACTAGTTTATTGAGCAACTGTGGCGAAGCTGGAGGGTGGTGCGGACTGCGCTTATTTTTTCTTTCCCGCTTTTGGGACACTTCTCTCTCCCATCTCTTACCCTACTACTGCCTCCCCTTTTTGTCCGGCTTTTGTCATTCTACTTGTTGCTCTGACAGTCGGACATAGGTCACGTGATATGATCATATCCCTCGCTGGAGTAGACAAAGCAGTGGGCAGTTGAATTCTGTATTAAAAGCAGTTGCTTTTCAAGGTTTGGCGCCATCACAGTAGAAATTTCCAAGTTCCAGTGTCGAAAAAGCTTTCTCGAAATATTCTCCTTTGTTGACTACTGCACCTTTTTGGAAAAAGTAAATTTGTATGACTAGTTTGCTGCACATGTAGCTCCTATCAGTCAGTCTACAAACTCAAATCAGGTATTTGGTGCAGCTGTGCCAGTCGGGATAGGCAAATGAATCGGGGCAGTCAGTGCAACCAGCATCTACAGCAATCGGTCGACAGAACAGTATGTAGGTAAAGCTGCCTCTCTTCAGCACCACTCCCGGGCTGTAACCATAGTCATGAAATTACGAATTCATAGGATACTGCTAATGTATCTGTATCAGTTTGCCTAAATATCAGCGAAGTCACTGCACTATTAAGAAAAAACACAGCATTTGCATCCTCATACAGGCTCTTCTCGGACCTATAATCAATTAAAGTTTTCACTTTACATAACAAGTCTCATACATTAGCTCATGTCTGTCTCTATACTAGGGTAAGTGTTACGTATATGCGTCAGCATTTAACATGATTACGATCGACCTCATCAATAGCTTCTTACGCACAGACCTGGATGGTCACGCAAGTTCTTGTAATTGAGACGAGGATTTCGTCTTTACTGGTGACATACTGACATCTAGTTTGGTAGTTGTAAAACTTTTGTTGTACGTGCGGGTGCGGTGAGAGGGAAAGCAAAGTGTAGTTGTATACATAAGGTTGCTGGGCAAGGATTGTGTGTACCTAAACGCCAATACAACTCTTCAATTTCAAGTCATGGCACTAGTGTGTATGTTTAGTTATTTTTTTTTCCGATGATCGTTTTTGCGGGATTTGAAATCTCCAAGGCCCCAGCATGCTTACAGGCTTCGAACTATTTTAGGGCATTCTTATATGAGTGGAGAGGAATTTTCATTTGTATATAGCAGAAGAACATAAATATCTTCAGGCCCAATACCCTTTTTTCTCATCTCCATTCAACAACAGATAATTTAATTGCTAGTACTATCTCTAACACCATGAAATTCACAACTCTCGTCGGAATCTTTGCTGCGCTTGTAGCTACAAGCAGCGCCTCAACCCTCGCCACTGGTAATTACTGTTGCACCCATGGCGCCAACACTGATCCAAGTACTGGAAGAGCGGCATACTGTGTTCGTAACTCATGACCAAACATCATTCCTATCAACTAAACGTCTACAGTGCCAGAATGGTTCCAACCCAAACGTTGGTTCCAGCTGCGACCATAACCACGGCTACCCGGTTGGCCGCCAAAACGTTGTCTTGTCAAGTGCGAGGTGTGGCCCTGGTGGAAATGGATACGTGGGTGAACAGCATTGAGGATTGGAGATTTGAGGATTGGGGTGTGTGCGATGTGGTTTAGGGATGCCCTGCGAATAACAGGACGTAACTGGAAGGCTCAGACAGCCAAATACAAACTGCCTAGGATGCGGCTGCTCAACTCTAAGCAAGCCACATCCATCAAGTATATAGCTGTATACAATCTGTCATGAGTGTTTCTTGTATTCAGTTCAGACTTGTTTTACACTCCAACCACACATCTGTCAGAAGCCTAGTTGTCACGTCACACGTTAATCATACTCATTTCTACTAGCACAGCGACGCAAACTTTCCCAATCTTCTGCAAAACGAAACGAAACAACTATACAAACCCTAACTAGCCAGCTGTAGTCTACTCAAGACAAAGCCAAGATATCCACCTCACACTCCACCCACCTTATCAAACCAGCCGAATCATCGCGCCAATCCAACCGAGCCTTGCTATCATCACCCAAACGTATGCAGGTAGTAAGTAAGTGGCGTGAGCATCACCCCCTTAGATGCCTCGGCTTATACCTACCGAGCATCGGAGATACTTACGCGTCACGCAACAGAGCAAAACCAACACGTGACCCTCACCTAAAAAAACCGTAAACCACCAGAAACGAGGGGAAGAAAAAAAAAGCGAGACATCGCAATGCCTCGCCTCTCCCCCCTTCCTAATCCGGATCCTCTCCTTCCCGCACGTACACGTACACGCACACGCACATGCACATACCATCCGTTACTACTCCGCACACCGTCCGCGCAAATTCCACACGTTTGCACGCGCCTAAAACCCGCGGAACCCATCCGCATTCCGCTCTCTTTCTCACACACACCATTGCACGCCGAAAAAGGGCGTAAGTGACGTATGTATGTGTGTCGGGGTGTGTGGGCATGCATGTCCAAAACAACGGGTACCTGCAGATAAACGATCTAAAGTAACTCCCCCCGTTACTCTCTTACGTCAAGATGACTAGCGCCAGGCATGGAAAGGGGATAGATAGAGAGAGACACAACGAGGAAAGGATGCGATAGTACGCATCGATCGGGTTGATAGGGTTTTGAGGGGGGGGAGAACCGATTGGTTCGCAGCGGTACTTTGCTGGAAAGGGGGGAGGGTAAGAGAGAGAGATAAGGTAAATGGCCGTAAATATAACTTATGCGTGTTAAAAAAAGAGACACTTGACGTGAGGGAGGTTTTGGGGAGGTGGTGGTGCAATATTAACCGGGCTTGTTTCGGTCGACTGCGTGTTTCAACGTCCGCACCCCCGCCGCTCGGAAAGAATGACAGCTCGGTAATTCGTCATGGTATTTAAGACAGCGGCTACGTACGTCATCCTTTTTCTCCATTCTTTTTTCTCTGTTTGGCTCTCTTTCCCTCTCTCTTTGGACTGAGACTAAGGGGTAGGGGTAGGGGCCAAGAAACCTCTCACTTCGTGTTATATGCCGGATGGGGATTTTTTGTTTCTGCTGACATGACAGGTGTGTGGTCGAGCGTTTGTTTCGGGTTGATGAGCAAACCATGAGTTTATGGGACCGGGGAGTTTAAGAACAAAAAAAGTTTTCTCATGACGCGTGTATACTTTAAAGTCCACGTTGATTGACGGCTGGGATACGAATGAATTTCATGCAATTTCATTGTTTTGATTCATTTCGTTTGTGGGAATAAAAGTGTATACGTGGAAAAAGGGCTTGAAAGGTGATGTGCATGAAAAGCTTGTACACACAAAAACAATGCTATAACCCCCCCGCGTAGGGTAATCCAGAACGCCCTCCACCCCTTTCGTCAAAGACAAGCCCACCTATTCATAGAAACGTGTGAGTGTGTGTTACATAGAAAAATCATTAAGCATCAGGTCAAGGACGAGGCCCTGGGTCTAGTACTACTACCCTTCTAGTGGTAGCCGTTGCCGTGCTTTCCTTTCTTGTGCTTGTCTTCGAGTTTGCTGCCAAGGATGGAGCCTGCTATGGCACCGAGAATGCCGTGGCCGCCCATCTTGTTACCTCCAAAGTAGCCGGCAGCGCCACCACCGAGAGCGCCCATCAGTCCACGATCGCCCTCGGCCTGTGCATTGGGATCTGTTGGGCCGTGTTGGCCTGGCTGGGGCTGGCCATATGGGCTCTGGCCTTGGGGATACTGGTCCTGGGGATAGGCGCCTTGCTGGGGAAATTGGTGCGACGGCTGCTGACCAGGGTACTGGCCTGATGGGGGATATTGCTGTTGTTGGCCATAACTGAAAATGGCGTGAGCATCATGACAGACTTTTGATTGGGAGCATGTTCTCTTACCCCTGCTGCTGGTCATAGGGCGCCTGCTGACCGTGCTGGAAACCGCCGTGTGCAGGTGTGCCGTACTGCTGGTTGTAACCTTGCTGCTGCTGCTGGTAGCCCTGTTGCGGATCGTGATAGCCTTGGCCCTGCTGCTGCTGTGGTGGGTAGCCAGGCTGCTGATATCCGCCCTGGTCCCAGCCTTGCTGAGGTGGATACTGCTGTTGGCCGTGGGGCGGGTACTGCTGCTGGTAGCCCTGGTTGTATTGGTCGTAAGGGCCGGACATGTTGAGCGTATCAAGTGGATGGATAGGATATGTGTGTGTGTGTGGCCAAAAGAAATGAAGAGGGTGCGCGTATAGGCTTGGTGAGGGGCTGGTGAGGGGTATGTTTCTAACGTCTGGTGGGCTGAATGTGTGTGTAGGAGTGAAGGCAGAATCGGACCAACCGGGTCACGTCACAGTGTTATATAGCACTAGAACTTGTTGCTTGCTCAGCTCCTCCTGCCGCCGGATGACTGAGCAGGTGGTGCAGTGCAGCCTTGGAGGGGGCGTAGCAGCGCCAGCGGACATTTCGGAATGCGCTCAGCCTCAGCGAGTTCGGCACAGCCAAACCACGCGTCACGGCTGCATCATCTGCCACATGGCCCGCCACAGTTCGCCTGCCACTAGCCGCTGCTGTCTGCTCTGCCATACGCGCACTTTTTTTGTTTTATCACTACTCCATGCTTGGGCCCCAGAGCACAGTCGATCTCCCCACGGCACCTAAGGCGCCCGTGCCTCAGGAAGGAAACAGTTGATCCGCCCCTGCGTGCCTTGGCTCGAAACATTGGGTGCCTCTGGCTCTCTCTCGCTGCGAAAGAGCCGATGGCGTATGCCGGATCCCGGCGGCGGCCTGACCCTAAACGCGGTCGTATTGTCCCTACACTAAGTACGCACGCAAGATTCGGGTGGAGCAAGCGACGGACCAAACCATGGCAAGGCGAGGCAAGGCGAAGCAAGGCGAGGCGCAGCGATGCCCTTCTGCCCTCGTACGACGCAAACATGTGGCTTGTCTCCTTGACTGCACGGCTCAGCCCTCATCCGCACTGCGCCCGACTTAGCCAAGCTACTGCTGCTGCGTCCTGCACACCACACAAGATGCAAACAATCCACTGCCCACCTATATGCGGGGAACTATCAAAAGGCTTGACTTCCATGTGCGATTTACCTACCTGCCCTCAATATCCAATAGTGGCAGGCCGACTGATAGTCTCACCACGGACCCCTGTGGCGTTTGATCTGCCCCAGAGACGGGCGCTGAAACCCGACCATAGCGCTCTGAGACAACTCTAAGACGATATCTAAAGCTTCCCGAGCCAATTTACTGCTCATTTCTGTTAACCTAACCGTACTCGGCCGTCCTTGGCACGCCGTGGCTACCTGATTCCGCCTTTTGGAGTCTTTTCGGCTCTCAACTGCTACTAAATTCGCCCTTCCTATCCTCCTCCCGGCCCCACTCTTTTACCTCTCTCCAAACTGACATGGGACCAGGAGCGACTCAGCACTAGCCTCCTTCATGCGCTCTCTCAAATGCGACCCCTCGCGCCTGTTGCATGAACGTGTCTCGTCTTGAGAGTTCGCCCAGACTTTCCTTGCTACTCTGCTGACCTACGCTCCTTTCCTTTCTGACCTTCGTTCCGCTGGCGGGCTTGTTGTTAATTACCTACCTACTCATATTCCTTCATTCACCCAAACACCATCCTTAGCCCAATCTCAACCCCCGACTACGCTGGTCGCAGTCCTCCAGGCCTTAGGACTTGAGCCCATCTTCGATCGCGAAGGCTTTTCACATCGCTGGTCGATTGCGCGGATTATGTCTGGTGGAGGAATCGAGCGGCAGGAAGACTGAGAGGGGCTCTCCCTATCCAAAAGCCCATCACATTTCGGACACAATGCCTGCTACACGGCTTCTTGGAGTTTACAACAGAGTCGGTTATGTGGTTGTCGACAAGGATGGAGTCAAGCACAAGAGAAAGCTGCAATCAGAAGAGCCAATGGCCACTATAAACCGCATACTGGGACGATCTCGTTCGCGCCGACAGCAACCGCAACCGAATCCAAACCCAAACGACACGGATTCCGACAGTGAGGACGATGAATACGAGTACTCGGCACCATCGTCAACGTCGACCCCTTCAATCGGATCGTCGCCAGGATCTGGAGCTGTAAGACGAGCACTGCCATTCGAAAATCGTATCTAACTTTGGCAGCTCGTAAACCCATCAACCACCACCACACAGTCTATCCCACCACTGTCTAATCCAGCTGCTCTCGCTGCTAGCGAACCGTCCGAGTCAATGGCAATGGCGCCATCGCCTCTCGCTGAGCAGGGATCCCGCGATACCAGCCCCATCTCGCAAACAACTGAGCACTTGCTCATTGCGGCTGGTTCCATTGGTACGCAGAGACTGCATATCTTGTTTGTTTAGAGTCGTGCTAATGAAAAAAAAAGGTGCAACAATCATCATTGTCATGGTAGTGCTTGCAATTTACACCATGCGAAAACGTGGTCTCTCTATGAGGGATGTTGTCCAGCAGGGCAAACAGCAATTCCACAATGGCCCACCGCCACACCTGTCTTCTCGATACGGACAAGACAAGAAATATGCATTTGATGATGAACGCGGTTATGGCATGAATGATACAATCGACCCCCCTCGACCAGCTGCAATCCCAGTAAGGTCTAGTTCGACGTCATCGCAGAAGCGCTTGCAACCGCTTGGACGCAGCGACAGCTTCGGTCAACCCGCTACTAGAGACGGCAACCAAAGCTTCTTTGACGACGCTCTGTCGCGCGATGGCAACCAAACGCCAGTCTCGCCCAGCTTTCCGATTGAAGGCAAACGGCGGAGCGCATCAACTCGTAACACTAGATCACTGGACAACGACGAGGACTTGCAGTTTGCCGAGACTCCATCACGCCCACCAAGCAACCTCCCAGCTCCTCCATCATTCCGTCAGTTCCTCTCAAACCGCCCTTCCATCTCTCAACGACCTGCGTTTGGAGGTGCAGGAGGCATGGCAAGTAGGTTCAGCTGGACAAACTCGCAGGCTCCTCAAACACCCCATGACCCATCCCGCGATACCGTTGCACAGTCAGTCGCCCGTGAGAGCTTCATGACATCGCGCTCTTCTGTTCCTCGCTTCCGCACTGTCGACTCTTGGGTTAACCAGCAATCTAATCGCGTGGAAGAGCAACGCCTCAAGCAGCAATTCCGCATGACGCAGTCTACTACCTATTCCGATGATGACATTCCTGAAATGCCAGCCCTACCATCCTCTGTTCCCAAGAACACAAATAGTGTTACCAGGCAACCCAGCACCAAGAGTGGACTTGTAGGAAGGGATATTAAGCATCAGAGACACGACACGCAGACGACGGCACCAATCTTCAAAGCGCACCCGGGAACTGAAGTACGATTCAGCACACGAAGCGCAGTGCCTTCTGAGATTCTAGATAGGGGCCGCCAGAACGCCGCACTGTAAAGCCTGACAAGATGTTTTTTTTTACAGACCACCTAACTACCTGTTACTTTGACATAAACACCAACTATTTTTTGCATTCATCCTTGGATTAGCGTCACTTCTGTTGCATCTTTATTGCGCGGTTATGGGAACTGGCGAAAACAGCATTGGGCTGGGGCACGACTGGAATCAAGCGGATTGAATAATACCCACACAACATAACACTCACGCAGATCTACACACACTGCTTCTGGCGCTTTCCGTCTGCATTTTCGAGCTCACTCTATTTCTCCCACAGAGGACATGCGAAGTTATACCCTGGCTCGACCTTTTGTGTAGCTAAAGCTTTTTCATTATAGTTTTTTTGGTCTCTTTCCACTTTGTCTTTTTTTTTGTACATTGCAAACTTATATTCAACATCCATTACCATTTGTGTATGTATGTGTGTGTGCCTATCTCTAAATGACTGTGACATGGTGAACATACTCTCTCTACCTCTCGAATTACTGCGCGCATACCCTTTCTTCTTTTCATTCAGATCACATCGTAATCGATCGCACTCTTTTCTTCTTCTCACAACGCGTGAGACAACGCAACACCAACCTTTCCATCCTTTTTTCCAGGAACTCGTCAATCCGATGGCGCGCAATTCCTTCCTCACTTGCCACACTCTCCTTACCTTTGGCGCAACTAAGGCCCAACGTGTATGAAGACCTATCAGGCCACATCACAAATTCCACCCTGAAGCCGCACACCGCTGACACATCCTACATCTCAGCGTCAATGTCACTCAACGTCAGTTGTCACCCATCCACACGTCCACACACACACACACATGTCGCGCGACACACCCACCAGCCCCCCCCCCCAAACAAAGAAAAAACAAGAAAAAAAGCCACTCTACGTTTCGCACCCGCAAATCTCTTCCCATATGGCACTCAATGTTTTGTCAACCCCCCCGCGCCTCACAATTTGACAAAACACAAAGCGCCACACACACACGCACACACACACACCCATCCCTATCTCGAGTCAATGACGACACCACCACCACCACCCCCAGCCAAGCCCTTTTTCACAACCCCCCTCCCCCTTCCCCACTAATTCCAAAAACAACGATTATCAATTCCATAAACTTTAACACCCGTTTTTTGGAGTCATAGTTGTCGCAGCGCCGTTTCAATCGGAGTAGTCTAGTTCCGACGCTTGGAAATTATTCGGGCTGGGGGGTTTAGTTTTGCCGAGGGGGGCGGGAAGCGGACGTGCCTCGGTTCCTTTGGGGGGGGGGGGGTTTGAAAGAGAGAATGAGAGAGAGAGCGAGTTCTCGGGGGCGGCCTTGTTTTAGGGCCTTGCCTTTTTTTGGGGGAGGGGATTAGGTTTGGTTTGGTTTGGTTTGGTTTGGGACGGAAGGAAGGAAAGAAGCGAAGGGAAGCGAAGGGGAAGCTTGGACTGGGGTTTCTTTCTACACTTAGTTCCGATGGTAGTGGTGTGGTGGTGGGCTTGGTTTGGGGTAGGGCAGGTAGGGCATTTGGCCTTATCTTTCCTTTGGTGGTGGTGGGGGGTAATGTGTATCTATGTTTAGTGATGATAAAGGCGCTTTCAGATGAGTTTAATTCCATAAGGTTTAGATATCGGGGAAAAAAAAGGAGAAACTACAAATTCCTGTCCCCTTTGAACTTAATCGCATTCGCCTTCGTGATATAAACTTTCAATCCGATAGAGCTAGACCAAACGAGCAATGGCAAGTCCCAAACTCTCACATTTCTGATAACGCTACAAACAAATCCCCAAAAAAAACCAAACATTTTTGCATTCCTAAAAGCATACCCAGACAGTTACAAAAAAACACGGGAGAAGAATGAAAGAAAACTCCAGAAAATGCATATCCGTCCGAGAAAAAAAACCCCTTTCAACGCCCGCGCCTAGCAACGTCTTCCAAAAAGCCCAACAAGAATGTCTTATCTACAGGACTCTTGCCTTCAATCGCACTTCCGGGCAAGCCCTGAGTTCCAAGACCACCCACATTCATACTTTCTCCCTGTGACATGCCTACTGCACTATCCACAGGATGACTAGTGGGAGGTGGAATGACGATGCTAGGAGCCGTTCCATCTCCAATACTGCTGATTCGGCTACGATTCGCCATCCCTTCTGGACTAACTGCACCAGCGCTTCCATTTCCTGGCAAAGGACTAACTGGGCTGATAACACCTGACATTGATGTTTTTGGTGTAGGCGCAAAAGGGGAGCGGGCTGGGGGTATTGGACTTTTCGCTTGAGAATTCGGCGAAGGAGATGGCTTACTACCAAAGAGGGAAAGCAGCACATTTTTCTGGTCTGAAGGAACAGAGTCGCGACGGTCCATTGTGGATCCGGGTGGAGGCACAGGTGAGCGAGATGGTGGGATTGCCGGTTGAGCGGGAGGGGGTTGGGGCGAGTTTCCCTTGAACATATCCAACAACCCCTGTGCATGCGGTGTGGGTTTAGTCACGGGTGCTGCTGCAACGTCAATGTCAGTATACGAATCTAGCACAACATGACAGGTAGGTCTAAACAATTGTAACGTACCTGGTCCAGACGAACTCTTTCTGTCAGGCGTCTGTTTCCGCTCTTGCTGCTGAGGACGCTTGAGGATCTGTGGCTTGAATGCCGGTTGAGGTGAGGCTGATACCTCAGCCGGCTGCTGGGGTGACGGAGAAACCTTTGTAATACTTTGTGGAGAAGCCTGAGGAGGACGCTTGAGGATCTGCTGAGGCATGAATGGCATGTTCGTGGCCGGCGAATGCCCAGATGAACTTCCATTTGCAGACTGCCTGTGCTTCTTCATGGTGTCAAAGTCCGGAGCGTTCACTGGGCCACTCACGGTAGCCGATGTAATCTTTGTCCTAGTAGGAAGAGCGTCATGAGCACCCAACACGCCTGTGTTAGGCAACTCGGAGGGATTGGCAGCCGGTTGAGCAGAAGCAAAAGCTGGAGTTGTAGGAAATGCCGACAGCTCCGCAGGTGCCGGCTCAGGACTTGCTAATGGAGGAGTGGGCCTGAACAGCGACAACAACGAATCTTGGTGAGGATTTCTCGGCTTCGGTTGCTCCGGCACAAAGTTAGAGGCAATGGGCGGGGACTGAAACTGCGGTGATTGGAATTGTGGTGGGCTCGCGGAAAAGTGCTGTCCGTGTGGCGAAACAAGTCCATGAGGCAAATGTTGAGGTAGAGGATGTTCTATCCTAGGAGTTGTTTGCTGGTTTCGGTGCAGTGGGGCAGCGACCGTTGTCTGAGGCGATTGCGGAGCTGGAGACTGCCTGTTGTTGGATTTGAAAGAATTCAATAGGCCTAATGCATGCGGGTTGAGATTGGGAGCAGGTAATTTGGATGCAGGTGGTATGACAGGCCTTCCATTGCCTCCCGCAAATTGAGAGTCACTCATGTCATGGGACAACTGTGGGTTTCGCTGGTCAAATGCATGCTGCATCGTTGGAGGCTGGTGTGAGTACATTGAACCTGGATGTTGGGGTGGACTCTGCATGAACTGATGCTGCATATGCTGTGCATGTTGCATATTGTTGAAATGATTTGAGGGTCCTGGAGGTGTGTAGAACGGTGGTGGAGGTCCCATATTCTGCATCTGCGGCGGTCGGGGATGGTGTTGACCATGAGGGCTTGACGGCTGCACAGGTGTAGACATGATCTGCTCGAATGGTGTCTGGGGCTGGCCCACTCCGGGCTGGCTATTGCCCTGCTTGAATAATGCCAGAAGTGGATTAGCCTGCTGCGGGTTCGGAGCTGAATTGCCAGGTGCTTCTACTGCCGAAGATGGCATGCCTACACTAAGTAGGCGTTTAAGTGCTTCAGCAGGGTCCTGGTTTTGCTGCTGTGATGCATATTGCTGTCCGGACAGTTCTGGCAGAGTATCGCTCGGACGGTGACTGCGACCTAGCTGGGCCACCATGTTGGCGAAATCGTCATTTGATTGAGTATTGTTTGTAATCTGGCCAGCGGTGTTTCCGTAGATCCCGGGCTGAGCGTCTTCGTCATCGGTGCCTGCTACTTGTGCTGGTGTAATGTGTGCGCTGTTCCGTAGCCTCTGTCTCCCAAGCTTGTTTTGTTGCTTTATCCACTGTTTCAAAGGCCCGAGGAAGGGGGCAACCATGTAGAAACTGCTCTCCTTGATCAAATCTTGTCCGTGTCCCTGCTGCGGCTGGGCCTGGTTCTTGCGCCTTAAGGTAGGCAAGTCGGTCAGCTTGTACCAGCCAATCTTTGATATTTCCTTTCTTGTTTGTGGCTCAAAATGCGCATCCATTGGCACTCCGCGAAATACGTAAAGCATCATGCTCTGCTCACGCATGGTTACGGTAATCTTCTTCATCTTCTCATCAGGCTCTACTAGGTCAGCCTCCCTCAGGTCGAAGCCAGTCTCTTCCCAGACTTCTCGGACAGCGCAATCCAGGTCCGTCTCTTCCTTGTTAATCTTTCCGCGCGGGAAGCTCCATTTAGCGCCCTTTTTCCATCCCTTGACCAGCACAGCATGTGTCATGTCCTCGTTCAGCATAATAGCCCCGCGCACCGGGACGCGTGTCTTGTAGGCGAGAAACTGCTCATAGGCCTGCTGGTGCAGCTGCTCCGAGTAGGCGGAAAACAACGGGCAGTGCTGGAACATGAGTTGGGAGAACTTGCGCAGGTGCATCGAGGGGAGGTTATTTGGGTCGAGTGGGCGGATGAAGTCTTCGTAGAACCATTGTGCCTCCTCGATCTGGAAGCAGATGCGCTCGACCGACTGCAATTCTTCATTGGGCAGGTTGACGATGAAGCGCACGCAGAGATCATCGAGCCAGTCAACTAGTGTTGTGTTTGTGGGAGTCATTGTGGGATAATGTCTGGCCCGTGTCGAGCATGCCGCGGGCAGCTAGGTGTCGTGCGTGGTGGCGGGGGGACGCGAGCAGGCGTCGGACGGCGGCGAGAACAGAGTTGATAGCGAGTGGTCTAGATGCGGGGGAGCATGTAGATGTAAGTACACAGCCGCAGTGAAAGCAAAAGCGTGGATGGGCTTTGTGGTGTTGATGGCAGGCTGGCCTATCGGAGGGTTGACATGTGGCGGCGGGTTGGGCGTCGGCGAAGGCGATCGATGTGCATTGGGTGTGGCGGCTGTGGCTGTGCTTTTAAAGCATTTCGCTTTGCCATGGCCAGAAGCCATGACGTTGGACTGTCTGGGATCGTCACACAATCAGGGCAGCTCTGACTTCACCGCCAGCACCCTCACCCATTCATTAAGTAGGCCCGTTATCTTTTTTTCTTGTCACTCCTTCAACCTCTATCCTCCACAGAATAAGTCTTTTGCTTGCTTGTTGCGCGACCGCACTCGACAGCTATACATAGGCCAGCGACGCGCCCGTTTCACATTTCCCCGCCCAAAGACGTCGTAGCCAACCAGACCACCCCGCGCGCTTTGATACAGCCGCGCTGCAGCACCACGTCAAAGGCCTCGCCTCATCTTCAAAGACTCTCCAGGCTTTAAAGGCCCGTACAAGGTCTCTGTTTAGAAGCCCGTCAGAAACCACTTGAGCCCCTTTTTTTTAACTCACTACACCCACATTCACACTCACCACCCACCATGGCGAATCTTGTAGCCAAATACGCCATGAAAAAGGCGCTCGGCAAGGAGATGGAAAAGTACCGGGGAAAGAGCGCATCCGGCCCATACGTAAGTTGAGATCTCGTGTTGTATCCACCTTTGTGTAGTACATACTAACGACAGCGCAGGATCCCTTTTACGAGGAAATTCCACACCCAAGGAAGCCTGGCAAAACAAAAAAGGTCAAAAAGGAAATCCCAAGCTACATCCCTCCACATGACGCAGATGTCCTTGCCAAAGCCCGCAAATCCGCCTACAGACTCGACTACGCTCTCTTTTCCTTTATGGGCATTCGGTTCGGCTGGTCTTCGGTGATCGGCCTATTCCCTGCTGCTGGCGACGCTATGTCTGCCGCTCTGACCCTCAACCTCGTTCGCCAGATGATGAAGGTTGAATGCGGTCTGCCTGCTACGGTCGTCCTTCTGATGGTGGTCAATACCGCCATTGACTTTCTCGCCGGTCTCGTTCCACTTCTTGGTGATCTTGCTGGTGCCGCCATCAAAGCCAATGGTAAAAACGTCCGCCTCCTCGAGCAACATCTTGACAAGGTGTACAAGCCTAAGGAGTTGATCGAACGCGAAGCCAAAATGCCTCGGGAATCACGACCGCGTCCTGCTTCAGTCTATATTGATTTTGACGACGAAATCGAAGACCGACGCAACGCCTTCAACGATGAGCATGATGATGTGCGCCGACCACAGAAATCGTACCGTGGCCAGCGCATCTCAGATGAGGAAATGGGTTACCGACAGGACACTCAACGTTCCTACAGAGACGACCGACGCAGAGACGACAGGCCCAGTCGCAACAACACCAGGGGCAGCAGGCGTTAAAAAATAGTTTTCCTTGCGTTTCCATTTCCTATGTTAGATTTTCTCGAGTCTTCTGTTTGGTTACTAGACTGGTGCTAGCACATTTTACAGTTGGCGTTGGCGGTTACCCATACCCTCTTTGAACACTATACCCGGGGATTTTGTTGAATGTACACAACAATGTCATGTATACTCTTTGTAATCTCTCACCTGGTAACACACAGGCCCTAGTCTCTGTTCTATTGGCCGTCCCAGCTTCATGCATGTCTCATGCTTACGAGTTGGTACCTGTCAATTTTATCTATAATTCCTTGCCATTCATTTCCTTACAAGCGTGTGCTTGACGTTTGTTTTCAAGTACCAGTTTGCTTGCCTAGTCACATTGTGCGTCCAATATGAGCGCCTCCTGTCCGTTTGCTTGCCCACTGTCCGTGCGTCTGGTTCACCAACTGTACTCACCGTGAGGTGACGCTGTCTTTACCAATATCTGACTCGTTTTAAAACTTCTATCCTGCAGAGTCCTCTCACTTCAATTGTTCTCTAGAAGCAATCTTTGCGCCAATACACTCGCTCGATTTAGTCTACTGTCTGAACAACACTCGTACATTCTCCCAAGCACCGTGAACAAGATAAAAACACTCACACCCCACAGCTTCAATCGAAAATGCATCTCTCACTTCTCTTCATATTCTTCCTAAACCTCCTCACCACCGCCCTCACGGCACCCAACTCCCCTGCCCTCGCCCCCCTCGAAGGCCTCGACACCTCCACCATCCTCTACACCCCAACCCCAACCCTGATCCACGCCTTCGATGCCGCCATAACCGCAAAAACCAACACCCATGCCGACAATTCCAACGACAACATCGCCAACAACGCCAACGCCAACCTCCTCCTCCTTCCCACGCAAACCATAACCCAAACCGCCCGCGTAACCCAAACCTCGCGGCCCCAAGACCCGGAACCCATAATCCTCTACCCCTTCCACCTAACCCTGACCTCTGCCTGCTCCTCCTCCTCCTCCTCGTACTCCGCCAACGCAACCCTCACAAACGGCAACTGGACATCCCGCATCATCAATCTGACTTCTTCCACGCGCGCAATCGTAGATCATCATATCAGTGGCTACCCGCAGACGTTTAGCGTGGGGCCGTTTGAGGCGCCGAGGGGGGAGTTGCGGTTTGGGTACTTGAATGGGGAGGGGGGGTGGAGGTGTGAGTGGGGGGATGGGGATAAGGATAAGAATGAGGATGGAGAGAGAAGCAGGGGGTGTGGGTGGTGTAAGGGCGGGGAGTGGAGGGTTGCGGGGTGTAAGCGGGGATGGGGGGTTAAGGTGAGTGGTGACTTTCTTTGGAGTTTGATGATGGCAAGGAGTGGGGCTAATGAAGGGTAGATTAAGGAGATGGATTGTGAGTTTATTATGGGGTGGAGGCATCAGTTGAAGGCGGAGGGATGAGGTGGTGTGGTTTTGGGGGGAGGGTGGTATGGGGTGGTGTGGAGTGCGGGAAAGAAGATAAGGCGGAGAGAGAAAGTGGGCGTGTAGTTATGGAGGAAGAGTTAGGGGCTGAGGAAATTGATGCTTCCTCTCTCTGCTCTTAGGGGTCTTCTGCTTGATTCAGAGACATGCAGATTCCACTGCGAATATTTGACTTTCACTAATTTGAATCAATGTTTTATTTTATTAATAGGGTATATAGGACCAAGTACCATGCCTTGACCTCTCCACCCATCTCTTCCAGGTTACAGCTGTATAATCAAATAACTCCGATAACCCAGACCTTGCTACTAGCCAACGAGAGTATCGTGAAAAAAAAAACGAAAACCTATGGTATATAACCGGCGGGGGTATTGATCAAATACAAAAGCCGTCAAAATTCCTAACCCTTTAATCCGACTCTTTCCTCATTCCACCTCTAACCAACATCGTCTTCTCCAATCCCCATTCTTCAAAAACAAGTGTATAGCTTAATCAAAAACTACGCCCTTGGACCCATACTTGAACTCCTCCCCACCCCAGCCAACCGACCGCCTCTCAGGCTTGTGAATCCGTACACACCACAAAAAGTAGTCTTCTAGCGGAAGCAAATTAAGCAGCACTCCATTGCCTACCCAAGCAATCCCGCACACCATAGCGCCAGCAACCGCATCCAGGATAAAATGATTCGCCGTCGCCACAATCGCAATCAGGATAGTAGTTGGATACGCGACACCAAGCGCAATGCACAAAAACCTTCGTAGCGACGGAACACGCATGCGCAGCCCCATCGTCAGCGCCACACTCCTCGTCCGTGCATGCTGCGGGGCTAGCGGAATCGTCATAACCGTTAGGCCGATAAGAAGCGAGTAACCAAAGTGCAGCGAAGGCATCGCAGCGTACTGATTGCAGAATTTATTTTGCGTCCAGACGCTGCTTTCGCCCTCGGCGCCGTGCACGGTGTCTACGAAGCCGAAGCTGCGGGCTTTTTTGCCGACGTCGCCCGTGACGTCTGGGTCGGAGAGTAAGCGCGGGGGCATGCAGGGCCAGAGGGTGAAGATGATGAAGGCGAGGAGGTTGCAGGTTGCCATTGTGCGGCGGCGGGCTGCGTAGAGAGCGGCGCCTGCGGGACTGCCGGATGCTTCGCCTATCGGCTTGTTGTGCATGGGGAGATCGATGCGGTTGCGGGTTGTGGTGTAGTAGTAGAGGCAGACGAGGAAGAGGATGGTGCCGGGGATGTGGATGAAGGAGTAGATGCGGTTTGTCCAGTGGAGAATGAAGGGGTGCTTGAGGAACCAGGCTTGGATGTCGAGTTCGAAGAAGATGTGAAGGCGCTGCTCCAGGGCGATGAGTTGCAGGGCGTGGCGGCGGGCGACGTTGACAGTGCCTTCATCGATGAGGTAGAGTGCGCTTATGCCGCGCCCGACTTGGTAGACCTGCGTTGGGTGACAGCTGTCAGTATTTTGGTGTTTTTTTGGTTGATGTATGCAGGTGAAGTTTGACGTACCCAGTAAATCAGGGCCCAGTACCATGCTTCGACTAAGAAGGGAAACTTTTGGAGCAGTCTTGATAGGAAGTAATCTTGGAATCTACGGGTGTTTGGGCTGACAACTTTTTTGCGCATGCCTAGAATCTTGATTTCGCGCGTCTGCCATGGTGGCTCTTCGTCGACATTGGCGAGAAGTGATGTGTTGGACAGGGGACTCGATCGACCGGACTCGGGTGAGGCGGAGCGAGGCGAGTGGTGATAGACTTTTGGTCGGTTAAGAAGACGGTACTCTGTGTTACGGTTCACCCAAGTACCGCCGAAGAGTAGGGTAATGACCACAAGTGGTTCTATGAAGGCTCCTGCGCCCATGATGTGTGATAGTATGCCAGGTGGGGTATTTGGGCGAACAAAGCAAAAGTATGCGATCTGGAGGGTATTGTTATTTTACAAGAAAGAAGTAGACGACACTGTTCCCCCGGGATGTTGCTTGTTGTTTGTTGTAGGTAGAGTTGACAATGTCTCGAGTAAGCGGACCAAAGACGGATGCGGGCAGATGTATGAGGCGCCAGGCGCAGGGCGTTCGAGCGTTGCTCACTTACAAGGCAACCAGCTCAAAGGCAGGGCAAGTAAGATAGAGGAAGAAGCAAAGAAAACCTTGTGGTATATGCAGGATTTCAGAAATGGGCAGCTAGGAGGGTGCAAAAGAGGACGACGGAGGGCACTAAGAGTAAGCATGGCACATTCATGGTGTCGGCGGAAGAGACGGCATGCAGGTATTGGCGAAGGAGCTCTGAGGTCATGGATTGGCAAGGCGTGCCAGTGGTCGGACGAATGCGAAGTTGCTCTGCGGCTGCCTTTGAGTAGTGCAGGGCGTTGCATGAATAGCCGACCTTCCGAGAAGGAGTTTACTGATGATTTGCCAAAGTGTGCGTCATGACTACTGTACTGTACAGATAGTTTTTGGGCAGCAGCATTCAAGTGCTCACCAGCCCGGACATGACCAAGGTACTGATTGGGAGTGATTGTACACAGGTCAATTGACAATATCAGACTTAGCACCGACTTTTTCGCGATAATACTCGCCCGTCCGGAGGCTCCGATGCTACCCAGCTCGCGATCCGCGCACTCCGTTGGCAGGCCTTTGTAATGCGAGCATCTCACAGTGGGCACGCGACCACGGCGGCAGAGGCTTAGCTTCCGTCCATGGCCGAGGGCTAGGCTCGTTTGGTCCACGGCACGTGATTTACTTGAAAAGGCGAGAGTCGAGATGAGACTGCGTGCACGTGACTTGAGCGTAGCTTCGTCCGCTAGACAGGGCATCCACTCAGCACCAATCATCCATGTGCACGTATCCACGATCTGCCTTGCTTACATACTACTACATACAACCTCTCGAGTAGGCCATGCAGTAAGAATGCAACATCAGCGCCATGCCAATCACACCTCAACGAGCCATTGCTGGTCACATATGCCCACCAAAGCCGACCCAGGCGCTTGAAAACCCAGCTTTCCTAGCCCTGAAATGGCCAAGGCATCAAATTTGCTACACATGTCACGCAATTCACACTGCACAGGTCGCACATACATGTAGGTACAAAGTGTTATTCAATGTCAGCAACGGGCCACGCAGGGAATGCCCCCACCGTCATTCTAATAGGCTCACACGCTCAACGTCTCGCTTCAATCTGAGACGTCAGCAATCCCACCAAACCCAACAAGAAACTTAGTTTACAAAGAAAAAAGGTATCCGCTGGAATATGCAATGAAGCTATCAGTCTTTCGCTCTCCCAAAAAAGGCAGCAATGCATTGTAACAAAGGAAAAGTAGCAATAATAGCTATGGTGTTTGCGGCAGGTATGGATGCGAATAACACCAAGCATTCCGTGACGCCGCGCTGAACGGGACCAATATGTGGTCAACCAAAGTAAGCATAGATGAAGGAAAGGAAAAAAAGAGACAGATGAAAAAATCTGCCTTGCGTCGCTCTTAGCAGGCGACGTTTGTAAATGGCGCACTCTCCTGCAGATCCTCGACCAGAGCATCCACGTTGTTGAGGTACTTGCCTAGCATGTGCTGCTTTTCAGCCTGCGACCGTGTGTGCTTTTTGACTCCATTGCTGCCGTCGTCGGTGCTCCCCCGCCGGTCCATGGCTGTCCTGACCTTGTCGCGACTCCGCTGAGGGCCCGAGACGGGCATTTCGGGCATGAGGTAAAAGTACAAGAACTCGAGCAGCTTGACCTTGACGCCCTGTGTTGTCTCCTCGTCCTTGAACAGACTCGTTACTGTGAGCAGGCCGTCCATGTGCTCAAATATCCGCGTGTTTTGGGGTGTGGCGAGCAGGGCGGAGACGAGGACGAGGAGGGCTTGTGACTGGATGGCCGGGCAGTTGTAGGGGTCGAGTAGGTCGAGGAGAAGGTTCATGTATACCTCACGCCCGAAGATGATGCGCGACGGGGGGTGTAGCAGGAGGAGGCCTTGTATGTTGGAAAGCGACGAGAGGATGAGGATGTCATTCTGGCCATCTGTAATCATGGTTAGCTCTTGGCTGTCATCAACTCTGCGTGCCTCTCTCCTACCTTTGCTACTACCCATACCAAGCAATCGATCCAGACAGTCGGCTACCCTGGTCACAACTTTACACTATTAGCATCTTGACCGTTGTTGATCTGCTGACTCAACCCACCATTCCATTCGAACCCCTCTTGTAGGCGAAAAAACTCTCGGAAGGCGAGATCGTCTGATAGCTGTCCCAACTTCTTTGCTGTGGCTTGTTGTTGTTGTTGTTGTTGTTGCTGTAGTTGTTGCTGTTGCTGTTGCTGTTGCTCACTCAGAGTGATTGCTGAGGCATTCCGGCGATGGCCTGGTGTGCTGGGTTTCGACTTTGCGCCAGAGAGACAAATCTGCGCCAGCATGCCCTCAATCTGGCGTAATCCCTTGCGAATTTTCTGCGTATCCTTGGACGCAATATTGTCAAAGGCGAGCGATAAGAGAGCCTCCATGGCGGATAAAGTGACGAGAATCCTTGTGGCGGGGTTAGTGGCAGCTATCAGCTCGACTTGTATGCTGAGACGATGAGGCGGCGGCGAGGGTGTTGAGGCGAAACGTCGAAGCTGTGGAATGCAGGAGTCGGAAGGGCGTGTGTTTCGCGAGGGGGCTAAGATGCAGCTAGAGGTTCCTTTTTGCGGAGAAGCCCTTCTGGTGAGCCTTGTGTGGGCCGAGATTAGGGAATCGCAGGTGAGCTTGATAGAGCTAGGTGCAGGGGTGTATTGGCACCTTGTAGCATCGATAAACACCCGCCGTTGCCCCGGCGACACTGGCCCGCCCGCGGCGGTTCGAGCCGTGCACTCACTCACTCGCCCGCCCTGTCCACCACCACGCCAGCCTATGCCAGACTACGCCAGCCCTCAATCTTGCTCGACATCCCTACCTTGCTGCAACATGTCGTTTCTCATTTGCTGTGCCCACACGTTCGGCCACCATGAGCCCTGCGCCAATCGCGATGGGCAACGCGACAGTGCGCATAACATGCTTCGCTTCCCCCTGACTCAAACCTGTTCTGATCAACGTCATTTCCAGCTCCAGGCCTTTGGCCATTTATTTCGGTTGCGGCCAAGCCAAGCTGCGAGCACGACAGATGCACACTGTCGTGGCTGACTGGGCTGCGCTCTGTCCTGTTCACCGGTAACTCTAAACTAACCCACAATGGCTGACCGCGCCCTTCAAATTGCCTTCTTTTTCCACTGCGGGGCTACAAGGCTGCAACGCCATACCTGATACTTCTTTGCATCCCCCCACACTCAGTCGTAAACGGGCCGGAGGAATGCCTTCGGTATACATTATCATCAGACAAACGGTTCAGCCTTGTGCTGAGTGGCAGCGCACCAGGCATCCAGCACCCTCAAGCCTCGGCAACCTCGTATTTCGTGTACCCCTCTCATAAAGACTTGACTCTTCATGGCCCATCAATCTTCATCTGTTCTGCAGCTGGACAGATCCTTGTTTTGTAAATTCCTTCGCACAAAGTCAGATCGCTTCAGCGGCCTGCTAGACCCAACATGACATCCTCCAGACACCTCCCGAGGACGCCAGATGTCAAATTTTATGCACTCTTCATTATCTTGCACATCATAAACATCGTCATCCGCTTCGTTATGCTGGCACCGAACATCTATTACCAGAACCATGCGACACTCCACAACACCATAGTCAGTGACAACCTCGTGCTTCACAATGGCACCTACGATCCAACCATCGTGACCGGCGAAAGGCTTGCAGACTGGTGGAGTACCTTTGCTTTTTGGTGGGACATTGCAATTTGGATACCATCTTTATGGCTGCTACCGCCATTGCATCTCCCAATCGTCGTTGGGGATGTCCTAATTGCCGTCTACACAGCGCGTATTGCGCACTACCAAAGCGGATACGTGCCCACGGCGAAAAGCGCGTGTAATGATATGTCTGCTTTTGACGACCATCGACCTCCAGGGACTAATGAGAGCTTCTTCGCTGCTGCGGCCAGGCTAAATGCAACTGTTACAACCCCTAAGAAAATATGCAGGGACTTTGTGGAAGAATGGCAACTTGGCATCTCTATAGTGTGAGTTATTCATGCCCCCCAAATCATCATTGACCACTAACATTCCTAGCTTCTTCCACGCCTTGATGGCATTTTTTGGTATTGTCTCTGTTGTTGGCTGCATATCAATTGCTAAACAGCAACTCATCAAGTTCTTGTACACAATGCAGGCATATGCTATGTTGCTCTTGCGGTGTATCGCTTATATGCCCAAAGCAACCGTGATGCTTGTTCCTTTTATTCTATACACTACCCCAGTCTTTATCTTCCGTTTGTGTTTACCTAAAAAGGCAAAAGTACCAGTTCGAACAGCGCGCCGGTATGCCGCGAAAACGGCACTCGGGGCGGAGCAGAAGACTGAGATTGCGCTCAAAGAGCTGAAGACGCAAATTTTCAATAAGGATACTATAGGGAGGTATCAAGGCACCGACGGGGAGCCTACGCAACTGGCACAATTCCTCGGCATATACGACATGCTCATGATGGTCACCCAACACCTACACTATGTCGATGTCTTGAGCCTGTCTTCTGTCTCCAAATCTGTCCGCAACTCGGTCCTCCCTCACGATGATCTTCACCGCCGCCTTACCCTTTTCAAACGAAATACTTGCCTCGGCGGTGGCGCGAGAACTCCTTGTTCGGTGTGTTGGATCCCGATATGCTCGGACTGTTTCAAGTCCACCTCGTTTGTACAATCGGCCCCACAACACCACCTGGACAACTGCATCCCATACTGCAAGACCTGCTACTATCAATACGTTGCGGTTAACAGAACCCGTAACGTCCCAAGACA